ATCTTCTCCATTGCCTTGTTCTTAATGTGAATTTTTCATAATTACGCTACGTAATGCTAATATAATATTAATGTTTCCCAACTGGCTTGTTATTACTTAAAGGAGTATGTTTAAGATACAAGGAAGCTTTTTCCATCTATCTGTCTGTCTATGTCTGTCTAGCTTACACAGAGATGAGGCTTTTCTTTTCACATGTATTTAATATGTAATATTAACATGTATTTCACATGTATTTAATCACATGTATTTAATAAAACTACATTTACTTTCAATACAGTGGTGGGATTCAAATAATTTATCAACCGGTTCTATGCCCTAATGACCAGCTGGGTAGGCGTGGCTCGGTGGTCATGTGACTGGGGGGGCATGGCCAACTCAACGTTACTCACATCGATGGACGCTTCGCCTTAGCTGTTACAATGTAATAAGGGTTTACACCGGAGAGGCAGTTTCTGTAAGCAGGTTAATAAAGATTAGGCTAGAAACAACACCAGAATGTTTCCTTCCTGCCTTCCTTACAGGATTAGCCCTGGAAAGTGGGAAAAAACAAAAGGAGATTTCTTCCAACAACCGGTTCTCTGAACTACTTAGAAAGTTACCAACCGGTTTTCCCGGATAGGTACGAACTGGCTGAATCCCACCACTGACCAATAGATCATAGGTTAAACTTCCTACTTTAGATCAGACATAAAAATAGGTTTAAACCATTGCCAACTAGGTTTAACCTCTTGTCTCATAAAGTCCAGGTCCTTATACAGCTCCATAATAAAGTTTAATGGGGGGGGGGAAAGGGAGAGAGGAAAAAGGAGGCAGAAAGAGTAAAAAAAAAGTTGTTTTTTGTAATAAATACAATACATTGCCTTTTAGATAAGAGTATGATGCTGACAGCTTTTGAGACTTCCCTTAGTTCCTGTTAAATGAGTCCACGATTCAAACAGTGGAATGCAAACATGTGGTGGTCAAAATAATAAATTTGGGTTAAAACCCTTGAGAAGGGGAATCCTATTGGATTGGTGGAAGCTCTCCCAGAATGGAACACTAGATGTTCCAAGGCTAAGGCATCAGAATCAATCACATCCAGTCTGCTCATCAGCCCTGAATTACAGGAAGATGAATGACAAGGAACCCCCAATTTAACACACAACCTGCTGTGCGCAGACCAACCTTCCAATGGCGAGGAACATTCATTATGATCACAAACGCATTTGTGGCAGCACAAATACTTGGTGAAGGGAAGCCAGATGCTAAGTGCATTAGATTATTTGGTTTCCATAGAGCGGTCCTCAAGGCCTAATTGGGATTAGAGTACACATTTCTCACTGAGCCCAGAACATCCATCACTGAAGGAACCTATCTCCACTTGCTCCCTTCCCCAGCATGCCCCCCATTCAACCTAACTCAAGAGCCACCTCGGACTTCTGTTGTTGGATTGCATTTCGTTTCATTGCATTTTATTCCGTTATGCCAAACTTAAAAATGAAAACAAAGAAGTAACCTTAGAGATATGTAGAAAATGCTGGGAGAAGTGTGTGTAAGTGTGTGTGTGTATGTGTGTGTGTGTGTTTGGGGGGGGGGTAGGGATACTAGCAAGATTCTGAGCCAAACACATCTTAGCACATGGTTTACATTACTGTGTATGAAGGGGTGTTTTTTTTTAAGACCACCACAAAATGCAGGTGGAAGTGTGAATCTGGGAGCGATTGAAGTCCAAATGCTCAGCCTCCAACTTTCCCAGTGTATCACAATTACAGAAACATCTGTGCTTAAATAACTTGGTGTGTTGATCTGCTGTGAAAATGTAGTGCTCAGCAGTCCTCCACATTTCTAATTTCTTACTTGGTCACAGGGTGGTCTTCCAGAGAACAGCAGCCCCAGCCGCTTCAGAGCCTCCAAGGGTTCAGATGCCTTGGACTCTGTTACCCGTGCACGGTTATTTACCAAAGTTACAGAGAATGAGAATAACATGGAAAAATGCAGTAGCGACACACAGCTGAAATCTATAAAAGGCTAAGGCCAAGTTGCAGTCACCTCTTCCGTTGCTATCCTTTCATATTCGTTTTACAGTACCATATTGCTAGCTCGGTTACTTTGCTTCTCGAGAGATTTTGTTCATTTCTTCCTCAGCTTTCATTTTCAGTAGCTAAGAATCAGTGCATTTCTCCATCTCTGAAGTTCTTACAGACTCAATCCCAACAAACTGGCTTTTCTATGAAATTTATCCATTTGTGAGGAAAGGCAGAGGTGGGTTCCTATCGGTTCGGCCCAGTTCGGCTGAACCGGTAGTGGTGTGGCGGCCTGGGTCACCGAAACCGGCAGTGACCCAGGCCTGCCACACTCCTGAACCAGTTCCTTGGTCACTGCCATCTCTGCTGCCATCTTGTTTTTGTGTTCTGAGCATGTGCAGAACAATCTTAATTGAATTGTGCATGCACATGCAGTGTGTATTCAGCGCACGCACGAGCAAACCAGCAATAAAGCCAGCCAGAACCAGTGGTGGGTTTCAATTTTTTTTAGAACCTCCTCTGTAGGTGTGGCCTGCTTTGTGGGAGTGGCTTGCCAGCCATGTGACCAGGTGGGCGTGGCCACCTTGTAAAATGTGGTGAGACTCACTTAACAGCACTCTTGCTTAGCAACCAAAATGTTGACTCAGAAACTCTGACATCTGAAGCATGCAAGTCTTAAAGCTGTCAAGTTACAAGACCCTTGTACCCCTAACCCTTTAGAAAAAAAAAACCAGGGGTGTTCAAACTTGACAGCTTTAAGACTTGTGGACTTCAACTCCCAGAATTCCTCCTCTCGCTCTTCATCTTGATGATGTGCGGACGTGGGGGGGAGGGAGCTGGAACTGGTTCTAAATGGTAGATTTGTGGAACCTCTTCTATAGAAGAGGTTAGAACTGGCAGGAACCCACCCCTGGCCAGAACCCACCCCTGATGAAAGGGATTTGTGTGTCAGAACAAGTGAACTTCGAGAATGAATGTGTTCCAATATTTGAAGGGGTGTCATACATAAGAAGAGGATCAATCTACTCTCCAAAGCAT